ACTTCTTCCATGGCTCCTGCTCTCTGGAATATCTTTAATACCTGGAAGGGTATTAAAATCTGTCTCTGCCAGTTAGTCTGGGGTACAACAAGGGGCACTTATTGGAGGTGATTGGTGGATTAACTGGGAAGAGGCTGCTCCAGTACTGATCTGATCTTTTTTTCCTCTTGCCTTTGTATTAATGATTTAAATATTTTCTGCACTTAGGATTTTAATTGCAAAGCACCCAGTGTCACTTTGCAGAGTGAGATGAGCAGCATATAAATAAAATAAATCAATAAAACAAATCTATCAACAAAAGCCATTACAGTCAAAGACAAAATGATCCAGATTAGAGACTACCTGCAAAAAGATTTGTAGGCTTGACATATAGTTCTACCCGTACCCATTTTAATGTGTTCAGTTTAAATAGTTTTAATAAGTTTTTATGTTACCGGTACTTTAATGTTTAATGGGAAGCCTACCCAGAGTTCCATATAAGATGAGAAGCTATATAAATGTTTTAAATAAATAAATAAACATAGCAAAGGGAGATGTTCATAGCTGCTAATTTGAGAGGGTGGAAGTTGAATCTGTCTTTCTTTATAAGCCTTTTACAGGTTGAGGAGGGAAAAAACTGAAGTGCAACTCTGGCTCCCTTATATATACAAAAAATTGATCCAATCATGAGTCTTGTGCAGGGACGCAGTTGCTCAGTGGCTAAGGCCCTGAGCTTGTCGATTGAAAGGTTGGCACGAGGTGTTGTGGCGAGAAGTACAAAAGGATATGGAAACTTGGAAAAAACTGCAGCTGTCTTTACTTGGAAGAATAGCAGCAGTTAAGATGAACATTCTACCTAGATTTCTTTTTTTGTTTCAAATGATTCCGGTGCTTAAAAGTGATAAACAATTGACAGAATGGCAAAGAGGAGTGAACAAGTTTGTCTGGAATGAGAAAAAAACCGAGAGTTAAATTGAAAATTATGCAAAATGCTCCAGAAAGGGGTGGTCTTAAACTTCCAAACCTACAACTGTATTATGAAGCAGCAGCTTTGTTGCAAGCAAGTGATTGGTTTGGAAGGACAAAGACTGGAATACTGAATATAGAAAGTTACGATCTCGAATTTGTTGGCATGCATACTTATTTTATGAAAACAAAGTGGACAAAGTTTTTAACAGCCACATACTTAGGAATTCCTTGATGAGAGTATGGAAGAAGCACCGATTCAAATGGGATTACAAAATACCGTTATGGCTGAATCTTGGTCATATCATGTGGAATATAAATATAATGTCAGTCGGGGGGTTTTTATACAAAGAAGTTCTTTTTAATGATGGGGGCGGATGGCAACTGAAGACATTGAACACACTGTTGGAAGAAGGGATCAATTTAACTTGGTTACAGTATAATCAACTTCAATTGAGATGGAAAGAAGATCAAAAAACTGGTATAATGATGCACGAAGAAGAATTGGTTAGACAGATAAAAGAGAAAGGCCCAATGCATATTAAGAGGGTTTATAATGTTTTGCTAGAAAGAGATTCAGAAACTGAATTGGTTAAAGATTGCATGATAAAGTGGGCGCAAAATTTTGCAGAACCAGTTATGTTGGAAACATGGGAAAAAATATGGGTCCAGAATGTTAAATTTACACAGTCGCAGAATTTGAGGGAAAATTTTTATAAAATGTTTTATAGGTGGCATTTAGATCCTAAGAAGCTGTCGTGCATGTATCCTAACGTTCAACCAAAATGTTGGAGATGTGATTGTTTAGATGCTACATATTATCATATATGGTGGACTTGCAAGAAAGTGAAGGCTTTTTGGATAAAAATTTGGTGGGTTATGCAAAATGTCCTGAAGAAAAAACTCCAATTCTCTCCACAATTGTTTTTATTGGGTATAGTTAAGGGTTTTACACTAGGTGAAACAAAGCTGATATTGTATATGGTGACAGCAGCTAGATTATTGATAGGTCAATATTGGAAAAATGATGCTATGCCCACTGTTGAAGAATGGACTTTGAAGATGGCCAGTTTTGCAGAGATGGCGAAGATTTCAGCATATCTAAAAGACCGGACTCAAGAGATGTATGGGATTGGAAGAAGTGGATAGATTATGTACAGAATAAATATCAAACTAGGAAATATCAGATAGCTTTTAGCTGAATGTATTATACAGGGATAGAATAACTGAATGTTATGATGAAATGAATAGTATACGGGGTGGAATAGCTAGGGGTTGAAGTATTATAAAATGTGATTTTGATTTGGATTTCATCTTGAGGAAGTCATGGGGGGAGGGGAGGGTTAGGGAGGGTTTGGTGGGGGGGGGAAACTGGGGAGAAAATATATTTATAAAACTTTTTAAATAAAAAAAAAAAGAAAGGTTAGCAGTTCAGCAGTTTGAATCTCTAGTGCCGCTGAGCTCCCACTACTTGTCCAAGCTTATGCCAACCTAGCAGTTCAAAAGCATTTAAAAAATGCAAGTAGAAAAATAGGGACCACCTTTGGTGGGATGGTAACAGCGTTCCGTGCGCCTTGGGCATTTAGTTATGCTGGCCACATGACCACGGAGATGTCTTCGGACAGCGCTGGCTCTTCGGCTTTGAAATGGAGATGAGCATTGACCCCTAGAGTTGGGAACGACTAGCACATATGTGCAAGGAAACCTTTACCTTTACCTAATGAGTCTTGTAGTTTGCATCTTACTCTGATTCCAGAATCTTCATAACATTTTTGAATAAGGAAGAACAGCTGTGTCAACAACAATACCTCTAATCTTTTCCCTAAAAAAAGGAGAGATCAATCAAATACAGAGATGGAACTGGGGGTGGGGGAGATACAAGAAATAACACGGTACTATGGTACTTCAAAGAAAAGTATTTATTTAAATGTATACGCTGACAATTAAACATCATTACAGTTCTGGTTAGCATACAAAACAATTAAAATAAAACAATTTACATGAAGTACAAAAAAGAACCACCAATACTTTACAGTTCAGATAACCTACAAGGTGGCGTCTGTCTCCCATTCTAGCTCAAAGCCTGAGAAGAGCCAGGTCTTAAGGATTCGACTAAATAAAATCAAGCTGGAGCATATAAATCTCTGGAGGAATCGCATTCCAGTGGTCAGACAGCAGTAAAACCTATTTTCTCAATTGCATCAGGCTTGCATTGCTTAATCAATGGGGCCCAGAGCCTGATAGATTGTTTAGCATGAACAGAAAATACAGAAGGCAGGCAAGTGTTAGCCAAGCCCTAATACTCATTATATTTACTGAAGCCCACAGGATTTGGGTTCTTGTATCATTAAACAATCTTTGTTGCTACAGTTAGTTTTTGACAGAAAGCCAAACATGCTCCTACATCAGTTTTACTAAGCAAAAATGGGAAACAAATAATGAGTCAAAGTATAATGAGCAGCAGAGTTCAAAATTTGTAGAGCCAAAATATCCTCCCACTGGCATAAGTAGCTTGTCTGAATTCCAAAATCAGAAGTGTCCGAAACACAAATGGGATGAGAAATCAAACCGGGTACAGCTCAATCGAGTTTTTGAATTTATCTTTCAAAACCATCAAAATCACACTGCCCTGTCCAATATTCTTGTTCTTTGCCACAATCTCATGAAGGTTGCCACAATCTCATGGAGATCTTTACAAAAGTAGGTTCATGAAGCCTCTGGTGTAATAGAATAGAATAGAATAGAATAGAATTTTTTATTGGCCAAGTATGAATGGACACACGAGGAATTTGTCTTTGGTGCATATGCTCTTAGTGTACATAAAAGAAAAGATATGTTCATCAAGAATCATAAGGTACAACACTTAATGATAGTCATAGGGAAACAGTCAATATAAATCGTAAGGATACCAGCAGCAAGATTACAGTCATACAGTCATAAGTGGAAGGAGATGGATAATAGGAACAATGAGAAGATTAATAGTAATGCAGACTTAGTAAATAGTTTGACAGTGTGGATGAATTATTTGTTTAGCAGAGTGATGGCGTTTGGGGAAAACTGTTCTTGTGTCTAGTTGTTCTGGTGTGCAGTGCTCTATAGCATCATTTTAAGGGTAGGAGTTGAAACAGTTTATGTCCAGGATGTGAGGGGTCTGTAAATATTTTCACAGCCTTCTTTTTGACTTGTGCAGTATACAGGTCCACAATGGAAGACAGGTTGGTAGCAATTGTTTTTTCTGCAGTTCAAATTATACTCTGAAGTCTGTGTCTGTACGTCTAATATAGGCATATATCTGTTTGGCTGCCTCCCATATACACACAAAGGACAATACCGTAGACATCTTAATAAGGTTTAATTGATGATCTTGCCAATGTTGAAAAGCTAGGCAAATTCGAGTCTAACTAGGATTTGGACAGAAAGCCACCAGAGATATTCCCAGGGTTAGAGTGAGAAGTAAAAAAAAAAAAAAAAATGCAGAAAACACCAATAAAGGAGAATATTTGTGGCTCAGGGTTGACATGAGGGATCCTCTCATGAGCTTGATGGCTTTTTTTTTTTTTTTTTGGCAGACGTTTCATTACCCAAACTAGGTAACAGCATCAGGGCTGATGATGTTACCTAGCTTGGGTAATGAAACGTCTGCAGGAAAACCAAGCAAGCTCAGAGAGGAGATTGAGAGAGAGGACCTCTCAATGCAGATCCCTTTCCGCGGGGCTCACCTACGAACGTCGTAGGTATAGAGACCGACTTGAAAAGGAAGGCGTCGCCCTTTCAATCTCACCCTAATCCCGCCCCTCCCCCGTCTATTTCCCCCTCCGCCCCGATTTCGCAATCGGAAGCAAGAACTCCGTGACGTAATACACGAAACAGCTACCCTTGCGAAATGCATTGTGGGCTTTATACAAGGAATACAATGAATACATTCGCCGGCATTGCGATTCGCCGCCGCCTCCACTTCTGCGCAGCCGCACTTCCGTCTTGCGTTTCCGCCGCTTTCTTCACTGACGGCCTGTCGCAAAACAGAGGCATCTCTTCCGGCCGTGCTCCCTCCCTCTCGTTCGTTTCGACACTCGCTCGGCGGTCGCCCCCTCCGCTTCTCACTTGCCGTTAAGCCAAAGCGAGCGGCTGCTTTTCCCTCAGGGCCTTTTTTTTTTCTTCCCCCCTCTCTCTTTCCCCCCCCTTCCCCCTTCCGTCCCGAAATGCCCCCGAAGAAACCGCCCCCGGCAGCGGCGGCGGGGGGGAATAAAAAAGCGGATCAGAAGAAGAAGGAGAAGATAATTGAGGTGAGTCCTCGGGCCTGAGTCCTCTTCAGCGGGGGAGGCTTCACGCGTTGCTCCCGGTTCTGCCTGCCTGCCTGCCTGCCTGCCTGCCTGTGGCAAAAGGAGCCTTGGCGGGGAAAAGGGAAACGGGGCTTCTCCTCTCCCTGACATGCCAGTTTTCCGCCTGGAGGAGTATAAATGGAGGGCGGTTGGGACCCAAAGGGCCTTGCCTCCTCCTCCTCCTCGGGTTTAGATCACTTTTAGTAGGGGGGAAAAATGTGTAGAGGAAGTCTGTCCCCTTTTTTTTGTTCGCGTTTCGCCTTCCTTAGACAACCCTTTGGGGAAGAGGGGGGAGAAACAGTTTTAGAAAGCTGACAGTGTACAGGTAGTCCTCGATTTACGGCCACAATTGAGCCCAGAATGAATGTTGCCAAGTGAATTTTGGCCCATTTTACGACTTTTCTTGCCACGGTTGTTAAGGGAATCGCTGCAGATTAGAGTTTAACATTGCTAAAATACAAATAGAAATGCTTTGCATGCGACCTTAACAGCCTGGTATTCTTGGTCACTACAGCAGATGAGTTGTACCTCGACTTACGACCACAATTGAGCCCAGAATGTTGGTTTATTTATTTATTTATTTATTGGTTCGATTTATATGCAGCCCTTTTCCGGAGACTCAGGGTGGCTTACAAAGCGTTAAGCAATAGCTTTCATACTTTTGTATATACATATTTAGTAGGGCTTCCCCCCCCCCCAAGCGGTGTTCTTTTTTATACAAAGTCAGTTTATTGCCCCCACAAACTGGGTCCTCATTTTACCTACCTCGAAAGGATGGAAGGCTGAGTCAACCTTGAGCCTGGTGAGATTTGAACTTGCAGTAATTGCAGGCAGCTGGTGTTACTTAACAGCGCTTTAGTCTGCTGCCCCACCAAGGCTTTTAGCACCAAGATTGCTAAAGTGAGAAATTTGTTAAGTGAGGTTTGTCCCATTTTACGGCTTTTCTGGCCCCTGTTGTTTTAAGCGAATCCCTGCAGTTAAATTAGTAACACGGTTGTTAAAGTGAATCTGGCTTCCCCATTGAGTTTGCTTATCAGAAGGGGCGTAAAAGGGGATCATGTGACTCCGGGACACTGCAACCGTCATAAATATGAGTCAGTTGCCAAGCATCTGAGTTTTGATCACGTGACTATGGGGATGCTGCAACGGTTGTAAGTGTGCAAAATGGTCATAAGTCACTTTTTCAATGCTATAACTTTGAAAGGTCACTAAACGAGCTGTTGTAAGTCAAGACTATCTGTTGGCTAGGCGTCAAGATTTTTGTGGGTTCTATTAAGACTTAAAAAGTGTATGTAGGTAACTTTAAGTAACAGTATATTTAAAGAAATGCAACAGACTGTATGTTACTCCCTAAAGAAACTTTTAGAGGCTTTGTTTTCTTATCTCAGTCTTAGTTTGAAGCCTGGGATGATGATGGAAAAAAAAAAAAGGCATGTAAAGTAGCCAAGGCATCTGTTGACATTTGTAACTGATGCTGGAATTAATTTTGGACTGTATGAAAATGTTCCTAATTGTAGGTAACTTTCTCAGAATCATTCTATATCCAGCTATTATTATGGATTTATTACCCATATATCTCATGTTTTGTTTTAGGTACTAAAAAGGATGGCATATATGGGAATCTCTCCTAATTTGATTCTTATAATGACAGTCCTGTGTGCTCAGTGTAGCTGAGAGCGAAGGAATGATGCAAAGTCACCCAGTGAACTTTGTGAGTGAATATTTGAGCCAAGGCTTCCCTGGTTCTCCATATTGGCTGACTGAAATTACAGCGATTTATGAAAAGGTTTACAAGCCCCAGTGAATCCTTTCATAGAAGTTAAAAACCACAAAAGAATTAAAAAAAAAGATTTTTACATGCCAAGGCTAAAAACTTCAATTCTGTTAATAGGAAGAATTACTGAGCACAGCTGGAGTGCTGCTACAAATATGGATGTAGTTTCAAGGAATTAACACCATCAATTAAAGTATCAGGCTTAAAGTTCTGTTTTGTACCTATATACAACAGAATGCACATTGGAGTTGGCTATAAAAGTATATTTATTAAACCTATGTAGAGTAACAGTTTTCCTTCCATGAATAGATTTGAACTATGGGGGTTCACGGGATTCTTTGTCAGAGTTAATGCAATTTATTTCTGTGAAGTAATTTGCATTGGCTTTATAAATAGTTGGGACCAGTGCTGCAGGATACAGCATGCACTGAAGCAACTTTTCCTGGAAGATATTTGGCACGTGCCTAAGGGGCTCCAGGCCTTATGGCTCTATTGCTCAGCACACAGTTCCATTCAGACCACCTCAACCCAGAAATACTTTGGTGAGTGGTGAAGGAAGTAGACCCTTATCTCAGTCTTCTCCTGTAGAACTTGTGCTCGAGCAGTTTGCCTTGAAGGGACTGCAGAGCAGCTTCGAGGGAAGCTCTGCCTAAATCTTTGAAACAAGACATCTTTTTAAAGCTTTGGACAGCCTTTATATAACAATCGCATGAAGCCAAATTTATTTTGAATTATTTTATGATTTACACTGCTAATTTATGATATGAGAGGTGTATCTGGCCTCTAAAAAGTTGTAGTGGTGTAACAGCTCAGATGATATGTCATCTTAAATCTTGGGATAAAACTGATAGGATTGGATTTTGTGCAAAAACAAATTATGTTAATGTTTGCTGGAATAGTAATCAAGGATTACTATTAACAATGTTCATCCACAAGACCAATATTCTATTATAGTTTACCAAAATGAACATTGTAATATATTTTTAGACTTGGGGTTATTTATATAGGCTATTAAAACAACCTATGGACATGACTATATTAAGTTATTATATAGAGCTGTGTAAGTGAATGATAAATACCTCACAAGTCCATTTTTCAAAGAATTTAAAATCTAAAATAGAGATAGTGAAACTATAGAGGAAACTAGTCCCTTTCAAACCTTACTTAAGCTGAAACAAAGGATACATAATTGAAATAATCCTATATTCTTCATATGCCTCCATATGAAGAATATAGGATTATTTCAATTATGTATCCTTTGTTTCAGCTTAAGTAAGGTTTGAAAGGGACTAGTTTTAAAGGACTCAAGAAAGAAAAGTTTGGCTGTGACTATTATCTCTAAGAGAGTAGTAGATGAGGGGTAATACTGTGAAAAGGAGTGAAACATTGGAAGAAAGTGTGGTTTGATTCTGTGATATTTAAAATCTTAAGCAGTGTAAGGATTACATCAGTTGGCATACTCAAGCTTTCTGGGAATAACTCAACACATTGCTGCAGTTCTTTAGATATTATAAAAACACTCTTGAAACAAAAAAATAATTTCCTACTTTGATGATGGCAGTGCTAGACATGAAAGACAAATGATCATGCTACTAATTTGTTAAAATTGACAATTTCAGATTAATTTGCTAAGGAGAAAGTGTTCCTCTTACTCAAATTTTAATCATTCTCCAGTAAAATCTTTAAGGTATCATTTTTGCTTCTGTCTCTCTTGTTAATTTCTTTATAAGGTATTATACAAAATATTTGCAATATTTATAAACCTCAGAATAAGGCAAATATAAAGTAATAATTAGATCACACAGTGTTATGGATATAATATCAGTTGAACTCTTTAAAAAACAGAGATTTACTATCTTCTAACAAGCTTTGAGAAGTTTGAATATCTTGCTAAAAATAGAAATGGATAACTTGATTGTTGTTGTCAAAGAAAGGTTAGAGACAGTTTCAAGATTTGTTGAATCATTTGGAGTGAAAAATACATTAACCTATAAAAATGTGGGATTTAACTGGCTGAACTGTAACACTGTAGCAGAGAAAAACCAAAGAGGTATTCAAAGCTATATTTAAGGCTGTTTGCATATTGTGTTATATGAAGGGAAAATAAAAATGCTTAAAAGCTTCCACCCTAATTATGTTCAAATAAATAATTGTAATGGTCCATCTACTTTAATAGCCTGATATTTTTGTTGATAGAATTTTAGGGTATATGCACACAGTTCTATTTCATATATTTTCTTTTTAGCTTCCTTTGTATGCAAAATATTTTGCTTCAGTTTTACTGTCACCTAAGCATGTTCATCATAATCCTGAATCTGCAGGGCTTTGAGAAATTAAAATCTTTCAGTTATTTAAATAACCAATTTAAAATCTCCAAATTTTATTTATGGCCCAAGACCAAACACAATAACCAACTGTATTTATATGGATACAACCACCAGACATTGTGTCTGAGAAGAAAATTAATATATATTGCAAGAAATTGGACTGATGGATAAGGAAGAAATAAGTGCATGTTTCCTTTTGATTGGCATTTCTCATAAAAAATTGTTTTATTATTCAAGTGGACATATTCTTGAATGTTAATTGTATTCTAATAAAACAAAAATGTTTTTAGTTAGAGTTTGTTTTTACTAAGGATAAATTTCAAAAACTGGATTGCTTTACATAAATTTTGTAAAATGTAATGCTAACACTCATGCAAATATTTCAAATTTAGGATAAAACATTTGGCTTAAAGAACAAGAAAGGAGCAAAACAACAAAAGTTTATCAAGGCAGTGACCCACCAAGTTAAATTTGGTCAACAAAACCCACGGCAGGTAAGTAAATATTTACTAGGCTTTCCTCTTTTCCCTTTGCACATATCATGATTTGATTGCTTTTTTATTATATCCATGGTTATAGCCATATGGCTATGGGTAGTATAATTATATGCTAAATTAAATACTAAACCATAACTTATGTATATTAATGATGATATGCTTTACTAGGCTGCTCAAGTAGATGCTGACAAAAAATTGAAGAAAGATGATAAGAAGAAAGAATTGCAAGAACTGAATGAGCTTTTCAAACCTGTAGTTGCAGCCCAAAAAATAAGTAAAGGTAATTTTCTTAATAAATTTACATTTTTTTAGTGTTCCATTTCAGGTTTATTTGTTTAATGTGAAAAAAAATTAGACTAAACAGTGTGCAAAATTTACAGGAGCAGATCCAAAATCAGTAGTCTGTGCCTTCTTCAAGCAAGGGCAGTGCACAAAAGGAGACAAGTGCAAATTCTCTCATGACTTGTCTTTAGAGAGGAAGTGTGAAAAGAGAAGTGTCTACATTGATGCACGAGATGAGGAGCTTGAAAAAGGTAAGTTATTTCTGAAAAACAGTTCTGTAAATTAGCATAAATAATATTTCTTAGGGTAGGTATTCTCTTAGATGAAGCTTTGTAAGTAGCTGTGAGATCTGTTTTCTACCATTTTAGCAAGATATTTCTTGGCTACCTGTGATTTCAGGACAATAACAATAAAAATAATAATTTTAAAAAATCCAAATTATCATGCTGTTGGTAAAGGCTTTCATAATAAAAACAATGCAGTGTTATATGTGCATCTTATTAAGCATGAAATAGTGCTTTTTGTTTACTATTTAGATATGTTTGTAAGATCAAAAATATTGGATTTTTTTTACTCAGCCACAGTTTGGTGCTATAACTAAATCTAGACAAATATTGTGACTTGTTCAGTTTCATGCATACTGCATGAAAGTGCACATTTGCAGTTTGTCTCAATGAAAAAATTCAAGTCTTATCAACCAACTAGGAAAGGGGATTGGTTGACATTACCTGAATGCATAGTTCATTAATATAATGGTAAATCATGTTCTGTCTAAAATGCCAGTATGAATATTTGCTAAGGTATTCAAATCAAACATTTACTATGTTTTTGATAACATTGCCCTGTTTTGTATGAACTAATTCATACCTAGAGTTTAATATTTCCTTTTGTTCATATTACTCCTTATCCTAAATATTCATAAACGTATAGATGAAATCTTTCTCTTTTTCCTGGCATGTAATGGAGAGTTTGTTAATGGTGATTAAGGTGCTTTCTTAAAACATTTCTTTTCATGAAACATTCTGCTGTTCTGTCTAGACACAATGGATAACTGGGATGAAAAAAAGCTGGAGGAGGTAGTGAACAAGAAGCATGGGGAAGCTGAAAAGAAAAAACCTAAAACACAAATCGTATGTATTTTTGGTTCTTAATTAAAGAACTTGTACTATTTTCTTTATGTAGATTTACATATTATTTCATTGTGTATTCTCTCCATTTAGGAGAGAAAGCTGCTGATAAAATGAACTGAAATACTCACTGTGTGCTATGGAAGACTGGTGTAATAATAGCTGAAGCTTTTCAAAACTTCCATGATTCAAAAATATAGTTTGTTTTAGCCTGGGCAAATTAACCTTAGTAATAGCATATAAACATAATACAATGCAAGGAAATATGGAATCCATAGAATAAGAACTATCTCAGGCATATAATTATTTTGCCATAGATTATTTAATGTTTTCTGGATGTAATTCCAACTTTGTTTTTACTACTTCTATTTTATTTTAGACATGAAAGGCATGAAGGTGGGCTTGAGATTTATGTAGAGAAAACAAATCCTGTTTCAAGGAATGATACATGTGTCAGTATAAAGGAATAATTTTGGAAATATAGGTACTGTATAAACTACCTTTTCCCAATCATAAAGAGCTACTTCAGATGTATTCAGGATTATATAGTTACTAAGTAACTATGATAATGCTAATATGAATAGAGAATGAGATAACAAATGTAGTAATATCATCTGAAGGGATTGGTGTCAAATACAAAAATAACTAAGAGCATTTTAACTAAAACAATTACATCTTGGGGGGGAATGAATGTTGGACACTTCATTCTGTGTAAATAAACTAAACATGGCATATTATCTTCTCAAGATGCTTTAAGATTGCTCCAGGTGAATTCATATATTTGCATTTTGTCCCCAGGAATAAGAAGCATTCTCTTGTGGGTATAAAATAGAAAACAGAGTTTGATGCTAAATGTTTAATGCAGGTGTGCAAGTATTTCCTTGATGCTATTGAAAACAACAAATACGGCTGGTTTTGGGTCTGTCCCGGTGGAGGTGACAATTGTATGTACCGCCATGCACTTCCTCCTGGTTTTGTGCTCAAAAAGGACAAAAAGAAAGAAGAAAAAGAAGAAGAAATTTCTTTAGAAGATCTAATAGAAAAAGAGGTAATGTAGCCACTTACCCTGAAATAGATAGAGTGAGGGAAGGAATGCAGTTATTTGGGCAATGAAAGTATCCCATTAATTGAGTATAGCTGACAATGTTAAATTGAAAGATATTATTATTAAATTGCAATAACTTTTTAATTATTGAGAAAGGTAGAGCTACAGTATTCTATTATCTTACTTTAAAAAATTAAGCTTTTTAATTTCTGCAACATTAGACATTATGAAAATAAATACTAGTATTTGCCTCCAGGGGGCACCCATTAATCTTAACTGAATATCTTTATGATAATAAATTTGTCTTGCATGTGTCATTTGATAATAATAATACGAAATTAATATAGGTGGAGGGTTTTTTTTTACCTTAATTTTAATTTATACTTTATATTTCCAAATCCTTGTAGATTGTGGAACCCACAATTTAAAAATATGAAGTCCTGCCTTTGGTTCCAAATAAGCTAGAAATTCAAGGGGTCTAAGCGATATATACTCACATTTTGCTGAAAAGATTTATGATACATTTAGATTTTAATGTACTAGAGAGAGAAAAACGAGAAACAAGGAAGTCTTTTAAGATCCCGCTCATTGATCATTTTTTATCTTGCAGCGTTCTGCCTTAGGATCAAATGTTACTAAAATTACTTTAGAGTCTTTTCTTGCATGGAAGAAAAGAAAAAGACAAGAAAAAATTGATAAAGCTGAGCAAGATATGGAAAGAAGGAAAGCGGACTTTAAAGCTGGTAAAGCATTGGTGGTATGTTCTCCTTTTTTATATAGCAAAATTAAGCCATAGTATTAATGGATGTTGTTTTTAAATCCATCTGTCTGTAATTGTTACATTTTTGGTTAAATTTGGTCCTTTTCTCCATGGCTAGATCAGCGGGCGTGAAGTGTTTGAGTTCCGTCCAGAACTAGTTGATGCAGATGATGAAGAAGCAGATGACACCCATTATATTCAAGGGACAGGAGAAGATGAGGTAAAGCAGCTGCAAGAGAAATGTGCATGTGGGAAAAAAGTCCCTCCACAATTCAACAATCCTGTAGTTAAATGCACATGCTAAATTCCTCCATCAGTACTTGTTTTAAGGTTGTAGTCCAGTGCACAAGCAATTGAATATAAATGTTATTAAATACGGGGATGACTAATTTTGAAATAATTTTTTGCTATAAGAAACACTAATTAGAAAGCCTAATTAAGGGAAACCATGTTTCTTCCACTTCAGGTTGATGAACTTGTCCGTATAAATGATATCGACTTGAATCTTTATGTTCCAAAAGATGTGGATGAGACTGGAATTACTGTAGCTAGTCTGGAACGATTTAGCACATATGCTTCCACTGAGAAAGATGGTAAGGCATTTAAGAACCTGTTTTATGCTAATGGGGAAGATTTTGGTAATTTTTATATTTTGAATATTCTATATTTAATAGTGAATCCCAAAATATGACTCCTATTGTGTGATTTGTTTTGATAATTGAATTCCTCAGACAGAATACTTTGTAAATCCTAATAATCCTATAAAATATTCTTTTTTTAAATTACACGTGTAGTCTCCCAACTGTTCAACTAAAAATAAAAAATAGTATTTGAAATGGCAGAAAATAAAACACTGGTTAACTAAGAAAGTTATAATAAACAGCTATCTGAGAGAAAAAAGTACTGCTTTCTGTAATAAATTAGGTAGCATTTTTTTTATATAATTAAAAATACTTGCAGAATAAAAGAGACTGGAGATGGCTCGGTCTCCCTAGATTTCAATCTTAGACACCAATTAAATGGCATTATTTTAAAATAAAGAACTGGAACTGAAATACGCAACCCAATTTAAAGAACATACGCATGGTAAAATATAAAGACATGTTTTTTTTTCCCCAGAAAGTACAGAATGTTTCTTAAGTTATCACGAATAACATAAAAATGGGTGCAACAACATGATAAAATTGTTTCCAAGTAGAAGAGTCAAAACCTCCCCTTGAAAATAAAGCTAAAGTCCTAAATCTGCCTGCTCAGAAGGAACTTTTTGCATCTTTTGAAATACATACATTTCTCTAGGTTAAGTATAGTAGACTCCTGATTTCTGAAAAGTTTATTTTGAAGTGTAATGCTTTGATAGTTTTACTTTGTAGTTCCTTAGCTTTGATATATTTTTCAGGTACATCAATCTTGCTTAATGATATTAAATATGATTGATGTGTAAATAGAGACAAGTTTGTGATTTATTTATTTTTTGTTTGTTTATTTGTTTATTTGTTTATTTATTTATTTGTTTGTTTGTTTGTTTGTTTATTTATTTAATTTATTGAATTTATATACTGCCCTTCTCCCTGAAGGGACTCAGGGCGGTGAACAGCCAAAAATTAAAATATAAAAGTTAAGATAACTAAAAATAAATTAAATTAGTCGGCCTCCCAATTTAAAACCCCAAGCTATACAATTAAAAACTAACCCATAAAACCTATTCAGGCCAGGCCGGCTTGCTGAAATAAAAATGTCTTCAGGGCCTTACGGAAAGTGCGGAGATCCGGGATCAGCCGTATTCCGGGAGGTAGCTCGTTCCAGAGGGCGGGTGCTCCCACAGAGAAGGCTCTCCCCCTGGGGGCCGCCGGCCAACATTGCTTGACCGACGGCACCCTGAGGAGGCCCTCTCTGTGAGAGCGTATTGGCCGGTGGGAGGTTATCAGTAGCAGAAGGCAGTCTCGTAAATACCCTGGCCCTAAGCCATGGAGCGCTTTAAAGGTGAGAACCAACACCTTGAAGCGCACCCGGAAGACCACCGGGAGCCAGTGCAGCTCACGCAGGAGAGGTGTTATATGGGAGCGCCATGTCGTTCCCGTAATCACCCACGCGGCCGTATTCTGGACCAGTTGGAGCCTCCGGGTGCTCCTCGGGGAGCCCCATGTAGAGAGCATTGCAATAGTCCAGGTGAGAAGTGACGAGAGCATGAGTGACTGTGCATAAGGAATCCCGACTCAGAAAGGGGCACAACTGGCGTATCAGGCGAACCTGATAAAAAGCCCCCCTGGCCACGGCTATCATGTGCTCTTCTAAAGACAGCCGTGTGTCCAGGAGGACGCCCAAGTTGCGAGTCCCCTCTGTGGGGGTCAATGACTCGCCCCCAATAGCCAGCGATGGCACCAGCTGGCTATATCGGGATGCCGGCATCCACAGCCACTCGGTTTTGGAAGGGTTAGTCAAAGCCTGTTCCTCCCCATCCAGACCCACATGGCCTCCAGACACTGGGACATCACTTCAAGGGCATCGTTGGGGTGGTTTGGGGTGGAGATGTACAGCTGAGTGTCATCAGCATACAGATGGCACCGCACCCCAAGGAACTGACCTAGAAACTCTGAGACCTTGAGTTTGAATTCCGCCTTACACACAAAGCCAGTTTGGGGACATTGGGCCAGTCGCAATCGCTTAGGCTAGGAAGCAAACAAAGGAAAACCATTGCTGAAATTTAGCCAAGGAAATTGCAGGGACTACTTTGGGCGGTGGCCAGAGATTAACAGGCACTGAAAGACACTCACACACACACACACACAAATGATAATAATTATTATTTTATTTTTCAGACAACAAGTTAAGTGAAGCTTCAGGGGGTGGACTTGAAAATGGAGAGCAAAGTGATTTAGATCCTGACAGTGACATGGAAGGCAACCCAGAAAATGGTGTAATTGATGCTGTACCTGTTGATGAAAATCTATTTACTGGCGAGGACTTGGAAGAACTAGAAGAAGAACTAAACACACTTGATTTAGAAGAATGAACAAGCAAATCACACTTGATTTAGGAGAATGAACAAGCAAATCAAACATTGTCTTCATCTGGTTTATCTAAAATTTTAAATGGAGTGTTCTTGGTTCCTCATGTGATTCTGGAAAGAACATTAAAAGCAGAAATATTTCGCCAATTTTTCTGATTCAGTCTTAACCAGTTTCATAATAAACTATTCATGTAATACACCGAAAAGATTCCTTTAATATACAGGGATATTGTAATGAAATCTCAAAAGTAGAAGACTAGCTAATTTTCCACAGAATATAAAGTTGAATGTGGCTGTCAGGTCCTTGAAGAGATCAAAGCACAACTGCATCTAAGTTAAGTGTGCTTGAATGATTTAATTTTAAGATATATTAATGATAACAGATTGAAATGGCTGTTCTGTGTGCTGAAATTGATCAGAAATTTTAAAGCAAACATACTCATGGTGGAGACTCATAAAGTGACACTCTAGTATGGGGGCTCTGTTTTCCATATTAAACATAACTGACTGACAAAAGTGTAAAATAAAGGCTATATGATTGAAAATATTGATCCCAGTATACATGCATGTTTTGCAGGCAACAATAGACTTGAACAAAAGTAGTTTTATAATCTTGAGGAAATGATTCTGAATTCAAATGCACATCCCTTTTGTTGATCCAAAAACCAAACCAAAAATCCAGATTGAGCCGTGATTTCCACAACTTTATTCTTGTATCAATATCTACTGTAAATTTTGTGATAGTTTAGATTTCTGCTTTGAGTCACCTGTCTTAGTGGAAGACTCTAGCATTCTTTCTTATCTAGAAGTAAAGTAAAAACAAGTTGCACATAATTGAAAAATGAGTTACTGTATTACAATGGCATTTTAGATAAAATGTATGAGCCAGGTGGATTAACGTTAAATATTTGCTTTGCATTTTGTTTTATGACATTCAGAAGCCATCCTAACATTTTATTGCAAAGCAATGATGTAAGAAAGGCTGTCTGACTGATGTGAACTTTGACATGTCTTAGAAATTGGGCTTTTGTATTCATTTCAAAAGTGTCTCTTGTGTCTAGCTTGAAATCAACAGCCTATGTACAAATCCAAAAACTTATTATTTGGAAAGAGGTTTATGAACACTTGGAATTAAAAGTAATTTCACTGCTTGATCTATTCTAGCTGGTAAAAGGCAACTCCTTGCCCCATATCCAGAGAAGTGTGTACTATCTTTTTTATTGTATGTTGATATTTGAATGTAAAATAGAAGGTTGTAGACTAGTAAATGAAATCTTCCTGGAATTCTACTGGCTTCCAACTGGATTAAGGAAGGAAACAAAGCTGATATAATGTATAGTGAAATGGCTCTTCAAGATTGCCATTATTTTTATACTTCATGTATAAATTATACCTAAATGCAAATCCAATTTCTTCTTTGTCTGTCCTTTTCTCCCTCCAGCCCCTTTTTAGATTATTCCTTTTGGGTTTTTTGCCTTCATTTCCCAACTCTGCAGAGATTTATGGACTCAAGCTTACATTTGTTTTTTAAGTACCACAACATATCTCAGCATACCTGTTTGCAAAGGGAATATTAATGTTTACACCTTAATATTTCTCCTTTAGAAAAAGTTTGGAAGAATATTCACAGCAAAAGTAAATACTCAATAAGCCTATTAATGTTATTTATAGAGAATTAATTGTGATGGCTTTATTTATTTTTCCAGTGTTGTTCATTTTTACTACATCAAACTATAATGAAATATGAATACATTGATTTTTTTTCTGAAAGTGATTTAATTTTTTGACTAATAGATGAAGCTATGTTTTTTTTCAGGAATTAAATATTCAGCTGTTTCTGCATTTAGTAACTTATTAAGAAGCAGGTTTTCATAGATTACTAGAGTGATTGCCTCTCAAATTCTTATCTCGGATTTCAGAAGGAATATATTAAAATTGGTAAATCACTCTAAATCTTGCTAAATTTCATAATGTCCTAAATCTGAAAAATAAGCTCTTGAATAAGAGAATTCTGGGTTGTAGCTAAAATCACATCACATTTGTTGTTTTCATGAACAAAACTCTTCCAATGAGCCTTAGGATTCCTTGAAATATTGCTTGACAAGTGTTTAATAGAACTATTAAAACGTCTATTGAAATAGATCCAGATTATCAAGTTGGAAACCATGTAAATGGTTTAATGAAGTGGTTTATATTTCTAGTAAAGGAATTTACTGGAATTGACCAAGAAATTTGGTCTGTTATTGTGAGATGGTCCTACGGCAGTGACATTTTAGATTTCTTAAATTAAGAGTATCTTTCAGAGTCACACAGGAGACTGAAAGAATATAATAGAAAGAGGCTATAGTTTTAGAAGGCTCCAAGTAATTCTTCTGAATCATTTTTGAATCGTGCACAGCCCTACAAATACTTCTGGTGCACTCTGAGAACCTTGATTTACATGTGATTTGTTGACTTGTTTCTAATTAATTTTCATGGCATTTCCATGTGATTTCAAAAGAAGTTTTCAGGTCCTAACTTTTAAGGTCAACACAGACTTGGAATTCCATCCACAAAAGTTTGCTTACTACAGCAACACCCAGTTTCTATAAAATCATGTGGATTTGATGTTTCACCAGGATTGGCTTACAGAAATATAGGAGACAGACGGAGAGGTTAATTTGAGAAAGGTTGAAAAGTTCTTCAAAAGTCATAACATTTTTGGAAAGGTAAGTGCATAGGTCCTTTATACATTTTGTATGATGTCAGGATTGTAAATAATGTACTGCCTGATATAATGATTTTAGAATGCTAGAAGAAATATTAGTAAGCTCATGTTTATTATTCAAGGTGACTGAAAATGTGTCCCTATTGTTATGGACCTTACACTCTTAGTCATACATTTTTTAAAACATAGTAAGACTTATTTATGGCCAAAGAAGTATAGATTTATGGTGTATGCAGCGGAAACAAATACAATTATGAAGAATCAGTAGACACAGTAAATATATGGAACTTTTATATCAGGAAACAATGTACATGATTTTTATTGTGAAACAAAAACAAAACAAAAATCCCATTGAATTTTTTTCCTATTATCTTTTATTTTTTCATGATTTGCATTCATTCTCTGATTCTTTGTCTTCCTGTTTGCTATTGGCAATTGTTGACACATGTTTCTAGATAGGTACACCCGTGTACCTACAGTACTTTGGTGCCAGTAATATTAATTAATATAAAATATATAAAATTAATTAATATAAAATATTAACTTTAATATTAAAAAGTAACTTTTAGTAAATAACATTTCCTTTTGTACATTTTAACAATACTTCTAAAAGTTACTTTTTTAAAAAAATGTAATCTAGCCTAATACAAATTTAAATGCTTAATTAATCAATGTTCATATGTACCCAAGGACTCAGTCTTCACTGGGACTCTAGCATGGAGAGTATCAACTTTAATTGATTGGAATCTCAATCTTGATTAGTTTCTTCACATTTAAAATGTACATTTTCCCAAAGAAAGCTAATTCCACCTAAAAATATAAGAGTTATGGATTAAGTACTTTTAGCATGCAATCTAAAGAAAAATAATGTATTTTGGCCCTAAATTGGCATAAATTGTTTTCAAGGTAATATGTTTACTTTAAATTATTAACATATTATGTTTGTGGTTTCAGGGGACATATTCAGTACATGTGTATGCGTATTGACTAAGTGGATTTTGTGGCACTAGTGAAAACAGTAATGAGAAAGTATTGTGAAAAATTAGTTAAAACTCGTCTCTTTTACCTGAACAGCTTACTCTATGTTAATATTGACTTATGGAGCACTTTTCAAAGCCATAGTGTATATGTAAACCAGTTCAGATACTTTACCATGTAAAGTATCATACAGGATAAGGCAAATGTTTTCTAACTCTACTATGATGTTCATAAAACTGGCTCATGTCTTCCTGAAATTTCTATCCCCTAAGCTAACTCAGTCTCTGGATCTGTCTATAGTGCATACTGTATTTGCAACAAAGAAAAATGCTTTTAATAAAATATAGTAAACAACTCTACATTTTTCAAATTTTCTAAGAGCTTTTTCTGTAACCAGTACAGAATCTGTGCAGAAAAATAACACGATCCATTACTTTTCTCCTGCTGATTTTACTCCAATTGCCATTTTAGTGGAATGCACGCTGGTGTGCAAAACATCTTCACTAACTATTGCTTATTAGTCATTACACTGGAATCTAAGAAAACTAAGTCTGAGGATTTATCCCATAGATATTTGTTGCTGTTGTAACAAATGTTGTAAATAATTAATGAGATACTGGAGAATGTGGCTTTGGATGTTGAATACCTCCCCTGCTTCCACATTATTTAAAAAATTTAGAAGGAGGAAACTTGGTGTTGGTGTTTTGCAGGGCTTCATTCCCCATTGCTAACTTGCAAAATCTAATAATACTAATTGGTATCTTTAAAAAATAAAAAGAAGAAAGCAATAGGATTCATACTCAATGAAAGATCTTAATATAAGCCTGTGGGCCTATTACTGTCAAGGAAGCAATGTCCGTCCCCTTGCCTCCCAAATACTAGGTGATCGGTAGGCCTTTTGTTAAAACAATTCAGAACAGCTGCAAACATTTCATGAGGAACTTCTAATTATTATGGGCATTCCATTATGTAAATCTAGAACAGTGATGGCTAGATTCTAGAGTATTTCAGGTATGTTAGTGCTCTTTTATGTATAAAGATACATAAAATTCAGGTCAATTGTAGCTTTCAGATCATTAGCGTCACTTTCACAGAACTATAGTGAACAAGACTTTACTATAAAAATGTTTCAGAAGGGAGTTTTGAATTCATAGGAAGCTGACTTATATCAAATCAGAGCATAATTCAGTTTTGATTAATATAGGCTACCTAATTGCCAGCAGCCCTCCAAGATTTAGAAACAGGTATATTTCCTATCCATAATGTCTGACATAGCTGACATTATTTAAAGCTGCTTTAATTTTTTTTTTTTAAAAAATGGATTCACAATAGATGCCAATAAATTCATAATACATTGTTTGAATATAGCAAACAGGGATTGAACCAGGGATTTTAACATACAATCCATGTTCTGCTTAGAAAGGGCTTTATTTTAAACACTTTTACCAAATTTGTATGCATTAATTGTGGAAGGGAGGGAGAATAAAGAAGAAACTGAAAATAGTGAAGT